TTGTGAGGCCAGGTGAAGGGCTGTCTGTTCTTTGTGCCCCATGGCGATGGAGGTGCTGGTGGGTGGTGGTGGGATCCAGAGCTGTACATTTGTGCTGGGTGCACAGCCAGAGCTACCTTGGGGACTGGCAATCATCATTTAATAGATGTCTTCAGTAACTTCCCACTCTGAGAGCCATCCATCTTCTCTGAGCAGGATAATATAGGAAGGCACTTGAATGATGAGCGATGGATGCTGCCAAGGATTTCCTTCTGCTCTGATTTGCCTGGAGTCATTCTGGGGATGGAGGGGTTTTGTCTCCTTCTGTGTCCTCAGCACTGTTATGGGTCCCCAGGAGTGAGCTTAGCCCATGTGCCATATGCCGTGCCCTTCACCAAAAAACCTCCTTCACAATACGAAAAAGAAGAGGCTGTTCACTTCCCAGATTCGATTGATGTGCTTGCTCTCCCCAAAACACCAGGAGCTTCTGCAAGCACCACGCGTGGGTGCAAGGCTCTGGAGATGTTCCCAGAGGTGGGGGGCAGCCAAAGGAGGTTTCCCACTTGTTTTCAAGCAGTCTTTGTTAAAATTGGTCACGGCAGGCTGCATCTCCTGCTGCCCAGGCAGTTTTGCGGTTCATTGGGCGGGCAGCGAGCACGGTGCTGGGAGGGTGAGGGTAAGCACAGCTCTTAGTGTTGCACCCCCTGTGCAAAGTACACCCCACTCAGTGTGCGTCCAGACAAATGCACATACCTGCTTTTAACCTGCTCATCAGCAGGTTGCCTTCGGCAAAGTCCTCTGAGCTTGGGAGCCTAGGGCGGGCAGGTGGCCAGGAGGTACACGGCTATGGCTAAGCCGTGTGCTTCCTTGGGCACCTCTTTGGGACGGTGGCATTTACTGCTGGAGGGGTCTGGCAGTGCCAGTGCAAGGGCAAGAGCATTCCTTTAAATGCCAGAGGAAAGCAGGGATTGATTCCATTTTCAACGGCCACGTATTTCCATGACATCTCTCTTGTCTCAGGGCTGTTTCTTACATTCTTGGATAATGAAGTTTGGGGGTTGTTTTTCTTTTCTTTCAAGCTTGGCAAAGCCAATTTGATGCATTTTGAAAAGAAATTGAAAACAGGCTCCTCTGCTTCAAATTCTGCCAAGGTTCAACCATCCTGGGAATGCAATGTCAAGGATAGCCCTCCCCCCTGCAACCACACTTAGAAAGTTTTATCTCCAAGCATCAAAGCTGCACAGCTCTCCACTGTGCCTTCAGAGCCCAGACTGTGCTGTATGTCCCTCTGATGAGTGAGAGTATATATTGTTTACTTATTGGCATCCTGGAACAAGCAGTACCTCTCTTAAGCCTTTTTATGGGTTTTGCCTGCTGGGAAAAGGACCTAATTTCTGGCAAAGATGTGCTGTACTGTCAGTATGTCAGCCTGGCAAAGCAAAGCTGTACGTATGGTTTGCATTTTGGGCTGAATTGAAGCCATAGCTTAAACTGCAGCATTTTTTTACAGCATGGGCTCAGAGAAACTCTCTTTGGAAAAGTATTTACCCAGGGCTTGTAAATACAGTATTATTTCTGCAGTGTTTTGTCACCTAGGTTGTTATTAAATTTGCAATATCAACCGTCAGAAACAACACAGAGAGTGTAGTTGCACTTTTTTTGTTTCTTTTTGTAGTTGATGTGGCAGGGAAATCCTGAATGGCGCTGGGGAAGGGAGCCTGTGCTGGCCCTTGCCCAGCTTCACAACCCAGGATTTCAAGCGTGGGGTGGGAAAGCAATGAAGCTCAAACTTGTGGTGCCCAAACCCGAGCTCACTGACAGGGAAGACAAAGTGAGTTTGGACAACAATGATTCCTTAACCACTTGGACTGTAAACTGACTTGACATTAAAAACCTGGCAATTGTTGCCATCTGTTTGGCATCCTCTATTGTCCAGCTGTGGGTTAAAAAGGATTTTTCCTGCAGTATTTTGAAGGTTCTGCAAATGGGTCCCACATGCACCCCTCCAGGATACTGGGATTTTCAGGAGCCAGGCTTTTTGCATACCCAGGGCCAGTGTAAGCAACCAAAGGGTTATTATCAGCTGCATAACAAAAATAATCACCATGAAAATCCTCCATGCAGAAAAAGAGGGTTATGGGGGGTTTTCATGAGAGCAGGGTGGGCCATGTCTCCCCAGAGGGAGGTGCTGGGAAAAGTTGCCCAGGGAAGCACAGACTGACAAGGGACTCAGTGGATGGATGCAGATGGGAATACTGAAATTTACAGTTTATCCTGTCCTTTGGGTTTAATAACATAGATGTTATTGCAGTTAATTCAGCATAGTTGAGGCCAGAGGGACAGATTGTGAGACATTTACAGTGATGACTCAAAAAGAGTATAGATATCAGAATATCAGGATCTGCCCTTTTTTATGCCACAGTGTTATTTTACTGGGGTTAAACTATGATATAGACATTCCACCTCCTCCAAACTCTTGCTCAGGATGCCAGACTTGGATTTGGATCACAACCAGCCTCTTGACAGAAGTCCTGCTGCCCCTTGGGGCGCTTGGGTGAGTTTACTCTTGTTCCCTCCCCAGAAAGACACCTAAGGCAATGATTTAGCCATGCAGTGTGATGCCTGGGACAGTTAATGCCAAGCCCTGAATAACTCTGCCTGTGATCTAGGACAGGACATCCCTCACCCTGGACTAGGTCCTTTTCATTCTAGGGAGAGATAAAACAGGGGGTCCCCTGGCAGGTCCTAAGGCCTTGTACCAGACAGTCCCTGGCCCAGCAGAGACTAGTGTAAGCCGTGTCTGAACAAAGAATTCAGCCCAGTGGATATATTTTGCTGCACTACATTGTATCTCTGGGAGAGAAGCAATTAAATGAGAGCTATAAAGCTGAATCACTCCAAGTGCACCATCAATAGCTCTTGTAAGCTTCATTAAATCTGCTCAGTCCTTGAAAGGGAGACATTAAAGGAACACTCCTATGGTTGAGGCCAGCAAGTTGGTGGCTCCTCTCATCCACCTTGGCTGATGCAGTGTCTTTGCAAGGGATGTGGCTCCTCACCATGGGGCTGTCTGAAGCAGCCTGGCCATTGTGAGGGCACGAAACCTGATGGTTATTGGGATAGTGCTGGATGACCTTATGAAGGGGCTCATGCACTGGGATTGCCTGTTCTTGGGGCTGGAGCTGTGCTGGGGGTGGGTCCCTGTGGCTGGTGGGAGCCTGCGGTCCTAAAAGCCCCATGGTTGGAATTGTTTCTGCTTGCCCAGCTGCTTTCTGGAAGTCATTCTGCCTGCTGGCTCTCACCTCCCTGGCTTTTTAGATTTTTTTTTTTTTTTAAAGCTTTTACTCTTATAAACAGTCTCTTATCCCTTCTTTGACGTTACATTGTCCCACTGTGTCTGCCATGGATATACTTGTGCTTCCAAAAAAAATAATTGCAAAAAAATGTATCCACTTGACCACCGCCTTGACTTCCAATGTGAGCTTGAGCCACTTGGAAATGCCTGTTGAAAGCAGAGAAACGGTGCCAATGTGCTTTTTGTGACTTCAGCCTCCAGAAGTGTGTTAGACTGCCCAAACCCCGGTGAATGAGGCATGAGCGCAGTGCGGCCCAGGACTGGCTTGGAGGATCTCCCAGTGCTGCCCCAACACTGCCCTCCACCTCAGCCCAAAAAGGAATGTGCTGTGCTCAGGGCAGCCCCAGCACCACATGCATGGAATTGCTTTAGGCCGAAGGGGAGATATGAATTTAGCAATGCGGGGAGACTTGCACAATGTTTGCTTCTAACAGCCTTTCCAGCCTATATAATTTTTTAAGTTGCTCCAGAGTAGAAACTATGACTAAAATGGAGGGGAGAGAAGCCTGTGTGTATAAAAATATATACCTCAAAATTTGTTAGTACCTGTCTAAAGGCAGTTCCTTAGTGCTGGGAATCAGAAGACTTTAGGTTTCACATATAGCATGGATATATCATAGACTCATAGAATGGTTTGGGTTGGAAGGGACCTTAAGAATATTTAGTTCTAACCCTCCTGTCACAGGCAAGGACACTTTCCACTAGACCAGGTTTCTCTGAGTTCCATCCAACATGGCCTTGAACACTGCCAGGGATGGGGCATCCACAACTTCTCTGGGCAACCTGTTCCAGTACCTCACCACATATAGAATTTTTTCCCAATGTCTAATCTAAACCTACTCTCAGTCTAAAGCCATTCCCCCTTGCTCTATCACTCCATGCTCTCGTAAAAAGTCCCTCTCCAGCTCTCCTGTAGCCACCTTTAGATTCAGGAAAGTGCTTTAAGGTGTTCTCAGAGCCTTCTCTTCTGCAGGCTGAACAACATCAACTCTCTCAGCTTGTCTCCATACCACAGGTGCTTCAGCCCTTCAGCGTTTTGCACCCTTTTTTAAAACATAGGCAGCCACAGGTCCCAGCTGACACTTGGAGCTGCCTTGCTTTTGCTGGACACAGTGATGGGCAGAGCTCCAAAGGCCTTGTTTCAGCATGCATTGAGATGTCCTGCAAACAAGGGTGTAGGGATCTGAGTTATGGATTTATGGGTTCAGTGTGCAACCAGGATATTAATCAGTGAGCGTGCCCAGAGTAAGTTCTGAAGGATAAAAACCTCTTAGGAACTGGAAAGTGTTTATATCCAGACAGGAATTTGCTCTGTTTTTTTTTTTTTTTAATCAGTCTTTAAAGCAAAATATTTGGCCATGAAGAATTCATTGCCCATAAAGAGATCCTGTACATCAGCACTGCAGACATGCACCCTCTGTGGTGGGTCAGCCTTTGCTCTAACTGCAGATAATTTCTGGCACAAATCATGGCACTAGCCATACCCCTCCTGCTACAATGCCATGAAGGCAGTGAGTGCTTGGGGAACACCTTTCCTAGGGATCAACACAAGCAGGGGGGCTGCTTCTCCAAAGCAAACGCTATTGAGGACTCTCCTGGACTAACCCTCCAGTACCACTCTACCTTTCTCTCCCTGCAGGCCCAGCGACCATGGCGAAGGTTGGGGATGAAGCTCTCAGCCCCAGTGGCCGTCGGGGTGCTGCTGGCCCTGGCCCTGCTGGCACTCATCCACCTGCCCCCACCACCGGACCACTCTCCACTCCCACTGCCAGCCTCATCCCCCCTAGGTCCCCCATGGGAGGTGGCTGACCCGCTATCTGGAGGACAAGCCCACAGAGAAAGGCTCCCTGTACCCCTCACTCGCTCACGGCGGGACCAGCCCCCTGGCCGGGGCAGGAGGCGGCGCCGGGGTGTGGAGAGGGAAACTCCCCTGTGGCTCTCTGAGGATGACCTCCAGAAGATGCAGCTGCTGGCCAGTGGGCAGGTGGTCTCCAAGACCCGCATACCTGCCCATGGGCAAGTCATGCGAGTGGGGCTGCAGGTCGTGGGGGATGCCAAAGGGAATGTCTTGCCAGCCAGCCCAGAGAGGGACTGCCAGGATGGGCACTGTGGGCTCATCAAGCGCCCCGGGGACCTCTATGAGGTGCTGGCCTTCCACCTGGACAGGGTGCTGGGGCTGAACCGCAGCCTGCCCGCTGTGGCCCGGCGCTTCACCAGCCACCTCCTGCCCTACAGCTACACCGATGGCTCCCTGCGCCCCATCATCTGGTGGGCTCCTGACCTCCAGCACCTGGAGGATGCCAACAACGACCAGAACTCCTGTGCCTTGGGGTGGCTGCAGTATCAGGATATGCTGCAGCCCCACAGAGTGACACTGGTGGCTGGGGATGCCCCCTGCTCCAGAATCCCACACGGCGAGTGGAGCCGCCTGGCCCTCTTCGACTTTCTTCTCCAGGTAGGGCTGCAGTGATGGAGACCACCTGTCCCACCAGCTGTGCCACCTGGGTCCCCCTGCATCTAAGCCTTTATTGTCCGGCCATGGACTCCTTCTCCTCTGCAGGGTCACATAGGCTGTGGTCTCTTGGGATGTATTTTCACTCATCAGCTAATGCTGAGCAGCAGAGCTTTGTGCAGAAGCACTTTGGCCTGAGTATGGTCTGTGCTTGGGACTTGCAGGGGAAACAGAGGCAGGTTTTGGACGTGGTGAGTCCACTCTCACATGGGTGAGCTTTCTGCCAGTGGCTTCACTGGCTTCGCTTTGTGCAGATGCCAGCAGCGGCTTGGAGCATCCCCAGGGACATCCCTAGGGACATCCTTAGGGTATCCCTAGGGGCCAGCAGCATTTTCTGCCTCAGCTCCATCAGATCCAACTCCAGGGATGCGCTGCTGGCACTGGAAGTGAGGAGCCCTTCCCCTTTGAACAGCACTGATTTCCTCCTCCTCTGCATTAGTAGCACTTAATCTCCCATCTGGAAAATCATACCCTGCTGCTACAAGGGATTACAACAGCGTCCCAGAGAGTTATCAGTTCTTGGAGGGCAGTTGTAAGGAGGCAAAAGTGATTTCTATGGAAAAAAAAAAAGCCTGTTTAGGCACCCTGGGGCTGGAGCTTTGGTTATCACACAAGGGGAAACTGCCTGAAAGGTCAAGTATTAAAGTGAAAAAAGAAAGAAGTGAACAAAGAAAAAACACAAACTAAATGTGTTCTCATTTTTCTCTCTCTTTTTGTTTTTGTTGCTGGTTTTTTTTTTTTTGCAAATCCTGACCATTAATCTTTATAACCTTGAACTAGGACTGGCAGAGGCAGAGCAGTCCTGGCTGGGCTTGGAAATATTTTAGCTGAAACAGCCAAAGAAATGAGAAGATTAACCAACCTCCTTCCCTTCCCCAGGCCAAAATGCTGCTGAATGCAGTGGAAAGGCTGAGTCTCCAGGAGAAAGTATCTGGTTCTAAGGAGAGTTTTCCTTGGAGGGCTGGAGTAGTGCAGTGATAAATCCAAGGTTTTCCTCAATAATTCCAGTGGGATTCTCCCATGCAGAAAAGTCATGTAAAGGTAAAGAGTCTGTAGGATATTGTAGAAGTGAAATAGCATTGTTCAGAAATGGCTTTAGCCTCTCACAGCCCTTGCCGGGGAAGGAGAGGCTGTGAGATTTGAGACCTATTGTACATTGGCATGAGAATCTTGGTAGTTTTCCTCAATTACCCTTAAAATTGGGCTTCTTCTATGTTGATTTCTCTTGGTGTTTGCCATAAGGGAACTTCCCTCTACATGCAAAATTTTACTGGGGGCAAAATGCCGAGCCTGGCGGAAATGGCAAAGCTGCTGATGGCTTTGTCCTGCGCTTTAAAGAGGGCCAAAACCAAATCACCTCTGAAGCCCTGCAGCCACATCCCTTCCCTGGAGCACCCCCTTCTGAATCGGGGAAAAGCAAGGAAATTTTCCATAGAGGAAGCCATCCCAGGCTGAATGATGACTGGAAAGACCTACTGGACCCAAGGGGATGCCCTGGGGTGGCCACAGGACCAAAGAGGGGCTGAAGGTGAGCTTCTCACAGGGTATGAGCTTGGACAGGAGTAGGTGTGGCTCATGTACTTGTGTTCCAGCAATAAGACCTATTTTGATCTTATGCATTAGAGCCATTTAGGCTCTGGCAAGAAGAAATTAATACAAACAATCAGGAGAGGGTCAGGGGGAAAGAGGGCTTGTCAGCATGTCAGTGGCAATCTCAGCATCTCCACAGCCATCTGGTCCCTCTCCTGGGGCTCCATTTGTTCACCAGGTCCGCCTCCACCTCACACCTCTGCATGTCCAGCACCAATCCACTCTGGTTTCGCAGGTGCTTGTGGGTGGGTGAGTAGAGCTTTGAGCCCCTTTAATGTATCTGTAAATCATCTCAGGTTGTCTTCACCTTCTGTGCAGCCTGGAAGACAACATAGCAGGTGAGAGAAACCGGCGTGCTGAGCTTTCCAGTAGGCAGACATAGGAGGTGTGTGGAGGAAATGTAACATTTTCTTCCATTTCAATGAGTTTTGTGTCAAAATGCTCAAGCACTTTTAACTGGAGTGCCTCTCAATGGAGAAATGCTGACCCAAGTGTTTCATTAAACCTCAGGAAACAGAAGGGTTTGTTAAGGGGCTTCAGTGTGGGACTAATCCTGCTTTGCAAAGGGTTACAAATATAATGGCCACGGAAATCACAATTTGTGTTTCCCGCAGCATCTTCTCCAGCGCTTGGTCAGTATTTGGGTTCAGGCTGAACTCTCTCAAAGCACAGCCTGTAACTGACAAGTTGTGCTAATTATCAGGGTGAAGGGAATAGGCAGCCACTGTGGGTCACTTGGCTTCTGCCTAGTCATCACTCATAGATCACTCCAGGCTTACCTGAGACCTCTTGGGTCTTACCTTACTGCAGCCCTCCTGGTGGCTCCAGGAGCCTCATTGCACCGAGCCCTGTCTCCTGGGTTGGCACCAGCAACACCAAGTGAGTGAGTCGGACATTTTCATGCTTCAACCAGAAAATATATTTATTTTCTATATATTTATATATTTTTGGTTCATAGTTAAAGGAGTGTATGCAAACAGGCCTCTGGAGCTGGAGGTGGTGAGCCAGCTCCCCTACACGGCTGTGGCAACACGCAGCTGTGGGGAGGACTCTTGGCAGGCAACGAGGCCCTGTCTGCCCCACAAACCACCACAGAGGCTGTGCCAGCTGCTTCTGACAAAGCTGAGGAAGCTTCATGAATACCAAGGCAGGGTTACTGAAACCAGGTCTGACAGAGATTTACGTCTTTTAAAAGTCCTTCATTCCTCTGAGGGTGTGGTTGAAACACAGGAAGCTGCCAGGGAGCAGTGGGGTTTCTGCAGGGAATTGGGGTGGGAAGCAGGAGGTTTAACAGGCTCAACAACACAAAGCCTTAGCAGCACCTGCAAATAATTAACCAGAAGTGTAGCTCAAACAAGTCACTGTGGCCCAACTTAAATGTCAGGCATGCTCTGTGAACGCACAGATCGCTTTTTCCCTTGCCGATACTTTTCCATTCATCTTTCCATTGAGAGCTGCTCAGGTTACCATAGGGATGGATGAAAGAGTGTGTATATCACAGGAGCCAGATGAAACCACCATCCAGAACACCAAGACGCAGAAAAAATTATCTTTCTGAGGATTCAAACCCTAGGTTTCCTTGGGTGCTTTCATGTTTTTGGTTTTGGGTTTTTTTTTTTTACATTCATGGCCATGTACGTCTTCCCTTGGTTTCAGCTGGAAACACAACCTGCTCACTCTGTGAAAATACAGAATGTGGAGGTACCAGGCACAGAATGTATCTGAACTCCACCAGGAAAGCCTGTCACCATCACCTTTGTCATCACCTTCTTCAAGCCAAGGGAGTTTTGCAAGCCAGCTAAGCTTCTTCATGCTTCCCCACCTCTCACCCTCTCACTGGTGTATGCCATCTTTTCCCATTTCAAGTCTGCTGAGAATCCCTAGAAATGTTTTATTTTCCTCTGAGCAAGAAAAGTTCACATCAGGACCTCCCCATCCCGGGCATATGTCCCTGCTAAGGTTCCCAAATGTCTCCTGCAGGTTCATGACCGCCTGGACCGCTACTGCTGTGGGTTTCAGCCTGATCCCTCTGAGCCCTGCATGGAGGAGATGCTCCACGAGAAGTGCCGGAACCCAGAAGAGCTGGTCCTGGTCCACATCCTGGTATGTCCTCCTCTCCAGAAGCTACTCTGGTGCTAAGATGAAGGTAGCTGGGAGGCACTGGGAGGCACTTGCAGGGCTGAGGTGGTAGCAAAGAGAACACAGGTCCCATGGTGATGCTGGGTCCATGGTGGGAGGTGTGCCGAGCACGGAGGGACTTGGACTTGGTCATCTGCTATCTCCCGGATACTCTCAGGCTTTCTCACTGCATTAAAAAGCAGCCTACACCCACAAACTGGTGTCTCTCTGCAGTAAGTGAACTTCTCCTTCCCATCCTGCTGGCAGGTCCGGAGGAGTGCGCCATCTCGCCTGGTGTTCATTGACAATGCAGGCAGGCCACAGCACCCTGAGGAGAAGCTCAACTTCAGGCTCCTTCAAGGCATAGACAGGTAGGAATGTGCACCTTCCTGGAGGCAAGTCCTGGGTGAGGGCTGAGCTGGCATGTGTGGGATGGCCAGCAGCCCTGTGTGCACACCTTCGTGCCGCTCCTGGCCACCCTGGTTGGGCACCCCTGTGAAGCAGGGCCACCTCCCACCCAGAGCAGAGTGGGTGGGCAGTCTCACAAAAATATCCCGTGTGCCCCTGCCATGAAACTAGCTCTTTTTTCTGCTCTGGATGACTGACGGCAGGCTCCAAAGACTATTTCCCCTCTTTAACTGGCAGCTGCACAAAAATAATGAATAATCAGGTATTTCAGCATTTCTTGTGTCGTTGCCTGTGAGGCATTTTGGCATGCTATAGGCCTTTTGATTTGGAATTTGTTTGGATCTGTTTCTGATGGAGGTGTCCTCCATGCTCGCCATGGGCAGAGCTTTAAGCAGTGGGCTCCTTATCCTGTGTTCCTCTGGGTGGACATGCATTTCTTCCTGAAGCACCTTTGCTCAAGTGCCCTGCTGCTTCCCTCCTCCCTGCCCAGAGTTCCCTGTGTAACCCCTCCCCTCCTTGTCTCTTCTGCTCCTCCTCTGCAGCTTTCCAGCAGCGGCAGTGGCCATGCTGCGATCAGGCAGACTGCAGAGCCTGCTGCTGGAGTCACTGCGTGTGGACCGGGAGCTCTGGGAGAGCCAGGGCGGTGCCAAGGGCCTGATACCCCTGCTTCAGACCATTGACAGGCGGGCACAGATCCTGCTCAGGTACATCCAAGAGCACAACCTGACAGTGTTTGAGGACTTGCCATGTTGAACTGACCTCCAGTCAGCACAGAGTTCCTGCCTGGCAAATCTCAACAGCAACAGATGTACCTCACGCCCGCAGCAGGGGTGATATGAGACTGCTTGGCTCTCCACAAGGTGTTTCCCCCCACCTTGTAGAATGATCTGGAGAAGCAGATGGGATCACAGGGAGCAGGAAAGACAAGGAGGAGATGTCTCCTGAGACAACCCACAACTGCTTGAGAAAGGCAACAGTCATCAAGTCATGGTCTCAGCATGGATTTCCAAAGGAGGGGCATATCCATGAGATTTTTGGGTGCCTTCACACATACACACACACACGCATGCATGCACACACACACAAACATACACACACAGCTGCTATGAAAACTGGAGGCTCGGACAATTGAACATGGACTCTAGTAAGGGTTAAAAAGCAGTGGAAGAAGTCACTGACAGCCTTTCCATGCTTGTACTGGACTTTTTGATGATGCTTTCCAAAACATCCCAGTCGGAGTTCACCAGAGGTGAACTTTCTAAGTGGATTAAGCAGGGACAAGATGCTAGAGCTGAGCTCTGTCTGGCACTCCCACGGAGGGGATCATGTGTGCTTGGGAGCACGTGTAAGCCACTGCTTGAAGCCGGGGCTAGGCAGGACCCAGGACTGCAGGAGCACTGGGCAGCAGCTGCCTTCACATAGCCCATGGTACCATCCCTGGCGAGCACCATGTGCCGTGTGCCACGTGCCTTGTGCCATGCGCCATGCCTCAGCAGGCCTGGGCTGCTGCCAGGGCACATTCTTGATTTGAAGATTCAAATCTCTTGCTCACTCTTTCCCTTTGCCATCAGGGGATTAAAAGGCAAAACTACCATGGTTTTGTTTAGCACTCCTGACTGCTCCCTTGGGCACGGCTGTGCGGAGCTCTTTCCAAGGCTTGCTTGTTTTAACAAAAATGCCAGGCTATTTCAGCAGAAAGCAATCAAGTGCAAAACTCTTTCTGAGCATGCTGGCACCTCCGGCAGAGCCCATCCTGCTCCTGTCATCCCAGCAGCCCACTGTGATGAGGCACAGCAGCATCCCAGCCAGGAAGGTCTTCAAGTGTCAGGGCTGACAGATAACCCAAAAGCAAAAAGAATAGGAGGAAAAAAGATAGAGGGATGGGCTCTATCATTCCCTGCAGTGTGTTTCCCAGCTGAGGCATGCAGTCAGTGTTTGCTTGCCAGGAGCTGCCAGTTCCTGGCCTGTGGACCAAAGGTTTGCCACCAGGACAAGGCTTTTTAAAGGTGCCTCAGGGAGCAGCCCTCCATTTTTCCAGCCCTACAGGTAGAGGCTCCATGCTTGAGGCACCTCAAATCACTTGTGCCTTTGGGAAGCCTCAGTGAGACTGGTGTGGGCACCCATGCAGAGCTGCTGTCCCATTGCCATAGCTTTGGAGAACATGGCCACCCATGTAGCAGGGGAAGAAAAGGCAGGTATTGATACCTTCCCCACCCCATGCCTCTTAACATCATGTCAGTTTGAGAGCCTGCAAGGGGATGCTTTAACAACCATGCTGATAAGCACAAGCAATTACCTTTTTTCCCCTTTTTCCTCTTGCTGAAGAGAAGATGAAGTGAGGTGTGGGTGACATGAATCAACAAGCACAAGTGCTCTCAGGAAGTGTCAGCACTCAGCATTGCAGGCACATCAGCATCCAAAGTGCCATCAGCATCTTCCTGGAGTCCTGCCCTCCAATTAGCCAGGGAAAGCCTTTCCCCCAGCACTCTCTCTCCACCCCATGAGTTATCATCCCATTTGCCATGCCATGGGGTGGATGACTGTCACGGAAGCCCTGCTAAAGCCTGAATTGTGGGGATTTATTATTAGTAGATGAGCTCAGCTTGCAAGCATGGAGGAGAGTGAAATAATTCAACCTGGTTCCTACGAAAAGCCATGCCCAGGCATGGCTATATAAGTGTAAAGGATACTCAATGTAACATAATTAAATCCAAAAAATGTGCTGTGAAAAGCTGCGAGGTAAAAAGAGAGTTAGGGTGTGCAGCATTAGTCATAGACTTGTTTTTTCTCATTAAAATGAGAAATTTCATTAAAAGATAGGTTTTCATCCCATGTAATCCATGTTCTCAGTGAGAACTGAGAGGCAGGTGGGGCTCTGTGCAGTGGCCAAAACTTGTGGACTTTGCTGTGCTGGAACAGCAGCTTTTGCCTTGCTCTTGGTTGCATCTTCTCAACCTTAACATTGCACAGGGTAGTGGGGATTTTTCTGGGGTTTTTTTTGCATTTCCTTAGTTGTAATGTGAGTTTGTACATATACGGGTACATCTGTAAGCAGTGACGCATGTGAATAAAAATCATTCATGATTTAACAAAGAGCCATGTATGGATAAATGAGAGAACCAAAAGCCATGATCTTCCTGAGACTGATCATTAATCTTCTTTAATTTGTCATTTGTTCCATGGGCTTGTCTATGTAACCAGCACAGGCTCTGAACTGTGGTAATGGCTGTTCAGAGGAATCCCGTGGACTGCTTACATCAGCCATGTAGTGTTCGGTTCAGTTTGCTCCAGCTGTGAATGTGTCATATTTCCTATGATAAACTTATTTTCATGGTCATAACTATTTTATAGTTATAAATATTCACTTGGGACCATACTTGACAAACAAGATTTCATCTAAGTAGTGATCCTGATTTAACGAAATTTTACCAGATATTATTATGGATGCTGTTGCGATGTGGTAACAAAAAAAAAAGGACATGGTCCAAGCTGGCTGCAGCACTGGGGCAGGATGGCTTTGGCTTTAAGAAGGCAGCAGCAGCTAAGCAAGGGAAAAAGCAGTGGAGAAACAAGGGCTTCTTGAAGGAGGGCATTCCTGCAGCACTCTCATGCTCATCCTTGGCACCACAGGAACGTGCTCAGAGAATAGCCTTTGAGAGCACAGGCATGCACCTTCCCAGAGCTTCACCAGTAAGGAACTGTTTCATGCTGCAATGATCCAAGTGACATGATCTGTGTTTAACAGATCTCTGGTTGTGCACAGCCCTTCAGCTGGCAGAAAATAGGGCTGGGGGATGGAAGGCAGGGGTCAAGGTGGCTCCAATCTGCTGAACACGCACACACGTGTGCATGCCAACACACGCTGTTTCACTACTCCTATTCAGCCCCCAAACTTGTTGACCCCCAGTCATCCCCCAGCACCTGCTACAGCGCTTTGCTGGCCCCACCCTCCATAAACTAAATACATTTTTGCTATATTTAAGGGCTATTTCTTGAGCTGCCCATTGTGTCCACAGGACACTAAATAGTCTTTGCAGCAGGCCTGCATGGACCTCACAGGGCAGCCTGAGCTCTCATTGAACCCACCCATTGGCCAGGGGTGGCACCAGTGGGGTGGCACTCGGGGGTGATGTGACGACCCATCCTTGTGCTTCTTTCCCCTTAAGGGTGGGTTATTACAGGTGGCACTCAGAGACCCCAGAAGATGCTTGGAAAAATCCTCCCAAGCATCCCTGTGCCACGCAAAGGAAGCGTGGGCTGACTGCTGCCTGAAAGGCAAGAGCTAGCAAGTAAATCCAAATTTATTGTTAAATAACTGGATATAAAAATAATCTGGCTTTTAGAAAGCAATTTATTTATGCTTTCAGTACTTACTTAAATATTTATGCAGAAAAGGAAAAAAAAAGTCTGCTCTGACACAGGACTATTGTTGTAGCAATGGCCTTTAAGATAAATGGAAGTAAATTAGCCTGATGTTTTATTTACATCCAGCGAAGCAGTAGATAAACTCTCCTTGTGATGGATTTTCTTCATTAGCTGGGCGAACGCCTAAGGTACAGCTTTTGACATTGTTTCTTCCATGTGGTTAGACAAACAGTTTATCAAAAGAGTATAAAATTGTCAGGAAAAGGAGCAGATTAATGGGCAGTAAAGTGAAGATCATTGAATTTATGATATAAGTAGCAGTATCACTGGAGCTTAAGAAATGGCTTATTAGATAACCGACATGTATCCGCAGACAGAAGCGCTGAGCCCCCTGGATCTGCTGTGCTGTCAGCGGCTGCTTCCCAAATCCCAGTGCGGGGATCCCCATGCTGAAGCTTCACCTCCCTCCTCCTTCCCTTCCCTTAGGTCTGGGTTTATGCCATAGCTCTCTAATTGGAGCTTGTGAACATACAATTTCCTCCCAATTAAAACCCCTAAGACTTTTAATGGCTTCAGGGATTACAACCTTGTCTTCATGTCTGAGCTGCTGTAACCATTTCCGCAACCTATTTTGTCAATTTTGGCTGCTTTTACAGCAGTGATAATCATACTTATATCAACAACAATAATGTATAGGTCTTACGATTCTTTGCAAAAAAAACCCCAGCATTAGCAGCTTATGGATCCCATATGGCTCCTGCAGCAATTACCTCTGGAATGATAATTAGCTGTCAGATAAGGCAAATGGGAAAAAGGATATGGGGAACCTGGGAGAAAGGAAATGTTCCTGGGGATGGTAGAGGGGCTGTGCTTGTGGGTGCCTGACATCTCTGCCCTGCCAGGCATGAGCTCAGGTTTTCAAGCTACAAAAGAGGGATTTTGGGTGCAAGGACGACCAAGAAACACGAGTTTAGCCGGTGCCATGAATCTCGGTCTCCAAGAGCTGTCTCCAGCAGGTGGCATTGTCTCGACAGGCTGTCTTTCCCCCATGCTTGCCAAGGGCGTCTTAAAAGTTTCATCTCCGGACCAGCAGATTTCAAGCTGCTAGAGCATCATTAATTCCCTAATTCCCTTGCAGCCTAATCCGCCCAGCTGTACTTTATATCCCTCCAGCAGCACTACCTTTTCCCCTCTGTTATTCTTTTTCCAATGAAAATCTAGATTTACAGAAGCAGAGCATTGCTCTGAGCTGGGAGCAAGAAAGAGATGGATGAACGGTGGCTGCTTGGAGAATGAAATGCCACAGCACCCAGGAATCTGCCCACCCAAGTGTGGACCCCTGTGCACAGCACCCACAGGATTTCTGGATTGAAGACCTCAAATGGTGATCATGTTTCCAAGAACCTGTCCTCTAGAGATATTTTGGATACCTGCTGTTTTGGTAGGATTGTCTCTGTTCAGAAAAACTCATAAACTTCAGGATTTTTGACTAGGCCCTGCAGTCGTCCCTGGGATGGATTTTAAAATGATACATCTCTCAGAGCTGTGCGCTGCCAACCAGCAGATAACACAAATCCAACCATGCTTTGGGGCTTTGAAATCCGCTGGTTTGTAAGCAAGGCAAACCAAAGACAGGAACAGCCTCTCCCAAACAGGAGGAGTTTTCCATTCAAGACTATCACCATGTGGTCCTTGGGGATTTCCCTGGGTTTTACTGTTTCACTCCTGACTGAAGGATCAGCCTCATTTTTTCTCCTTTTCTGAGTTGAGCCAGGTTTTATTCCCCTCAGTCATCATCTAATCCAAGAGATGATGCAGGTGCAAAGGGGCTTCTTGCATCTGGCACCCTCTGCTCATGCTGCATGCACGGGGTGGCGAGGTGATGCATGTCCCTCCAACTTCTGAATGCAGCTTGGGTTTGGATGCCACGTGAGGTTTTTTCCCCTCCTCAGTTCCTGTCCAAGTTCCACGTTAAGCAATCAGACTTACCATTTTACTTCCTTTTGGGATGGGAGGCTGTAATTTGTGACACCTGTGCATCATCAGGCAGAACAGGGGCTCATGCAGCAGGAGAGGTGAGGAGGAGGAAGGACTGAGACTTTCCTTTAAATCCATGACTTTTCTTGACCAATACCAGGAACTAATATTTCAGTCCACAGGGGTATTAACTCAGCATATAGGTTGCCTGGCCTTTCCCTGGCTGTCTGGAGGAGGCGGCATGTGGTGATACCTTCAGAAAGTACCTGAAAAGGATGGATGAGGATTTTTCCCACTAGTTGCTTAGCCTTCGGAAAGCAAAGAGAAACTCTCCAAGGATGGCGTTTCAGTCCTGTCTCCATCCAGTCTAGCCAGATGAATACGTGTGGGTTTCAAACCAGGTATAAGGAAGAGCCTAAGGAAAACCTGAGTCCTCACTCTGCATGGAAATGAAACATTTCAATGGATGTGCCCATGCGGGGGTATTTCCCCAGTGAGAGGTGAGCACGGCTCCACTGTGCTGCTGGCCAGGTTTTCTGCTCGAGCAGGCATGGGACCATCTCTTCCATGCCTGCTTCTCAAGCGAGTTTTGCTCCACTGGATTTAATTTTTGGCCATATCCAAGCAGGGATGGAGTTTTTATTGAGGATGAGGCAAGTGGATCTAGTGGCACAGCCTACACTGCAGATGTTGCTGTATTTTTGCATGTGTTTGATTTTAATTGCCCATTCTGGCAGCATCAGGGAAGGCTTGGAGTAAGAAAAGCATGTCCCAGGGCTCTTTATGTACATAAACAATTGGAGGTTTACTGCCTTGACCTTCCCTGAAACAAGTTCTTGGCTCCTCTGAGTTAAATCATGGGGAAAAAAAACTAGATCCATTAAGCTAAGCTGCAGATTTGGGCTTCTAGGCAGCACATCTAGGTGCCAACAAGATACCAGGAGGCTGAGATTTGCCACAATTGGGACAAATCTTTTTTAATGGTTTTTGTTCATTTCACTAGGGTCTGCCAGCTCTGTTCCTTGCCTACAGTAAATATTCTGGGAGCAGGGAAATGGTGATAATATTCAATTTAAGGCACTTCAGCATGGTTTCCTTGATTTGGAGTGAAGGGGAGAAGTGGGGCAAAACATATGCACAGAATGGACCGCTTAGGTCAGGCACTTCTTGCTTTATCTTCTGAGTGAGAAACCTGGCATCACATGCAAAGACCCATAATCAGGTGTTCAGGAAGAGTTTATCCTGCCCACTTGAGTCGGAGTTGTATGCTCAGGGTACAGAGATCAAAGGTCTCTTTTCCTGCATTGATGGCCAGAGCAGTCTGCTGAGGAGCTTTAATTGGAGGGATAAGATGGCATAGCTTCTTCCTTACCTCAGACAAAAGAGATTAGGGTCTCTAGGACCTTAAACAACACTAACTGATCTCAGACAATTTAAATGTGCAAAAACATGCCTGTAGCACATGGAGACAGGAGACCCAGAAGCCTGCTTTCCTCCACTGGCAAAGCCAGGGGTGTTGGCACAGGTAAGCTGTGCACTGCCACAGATAGCTGGGAGCCTCTGCAGGGTGCTGCAGCTGGTGCACAGGCTGAGCAGCCCTTTTCATCTCAACCCCATCACAGAGGCCTGAGAAAGGACCTTCTCTGCAAACACAAATTTGTAGACTCGTTTTTTTCCCCTACATTTAGGAACTATATGGAGGGTCACCCT